CCGTTAAAGTAATAAAAATCGTAAATAATATTCTCTGCCCACCTCGGTGGTGCTGAGGCCTTAAGCAGAGTCAAAGTGCGAGAAGGTTCAACTCTCTCGTAGGGCCACGTGGTTGTCGCGTGGGTAATGTCATCGTGCCTTTACATTTCATCCCAATGATAAAAATCATTCATCATAAGGGAGAGATTTTTGTGCCCTAAAAATCATGAAATACGCTTTTAAAAATATACATTTATGACCTAAAATTTCTGAAATTTGCACTTTAATATGCAATTAAAATTAACAATATTTCTTTTTGTCTATAAAACTCTCTTCATAAAATTCAGGAGAAGCATGCGTGGAATGAAAATATATATTTTTGTGCAAACATAATCTACCCTGACACGAGAGAGAGAAATAATTGAAGTAAATATTCACCTTAGTGAAGTATTGTAGGTTTGTATTTCTTCTGACTAGTTTAAAAAATATGTTTTCAAGACGTTTCCTACATTTGCACAAATATTTTATCATCTATAGAAAACAAATTCACGCAACTGTGACAAGCTTATTCAAACCAATGAACGCTAACAAATAAATAGATTCTACGAAAAGATGAAACGTCTTACAGATAACGAATTAAACTAATTTAACTAATTATGCAAATATGCGCTAATAGGAAAAATCCAAATATGCACTAGTAGGAAAAATCGGCCAAAAATGCACTAACATAATCTACATTGCATCATATTCTTACGAAATGACAAGAAATTTCACTTAGCAACGGACAAAAATATGCAAAATCATAGAAATCCACTCCCTAGTGATAATTATTCACCCTGCTTGATCATTCTCTCATACTTATTACAAGGCAACTGCTGACCATCTGTATGGATATCTGATCAAGACAGAGAAGGAAACCACATCTTTCCACGTCTGCGATCAGAAATGAGTGTGACTCTTCAGAATCAGAATTAGCGTTCACCACAAATTTTTCTTCGTGTGTGTGACACCATCTCAGGGATAAATTATGTTCCGATTAATGAACATCCGCTAGTTCAGTGAAAGATGTGAAAAATACTTTCCATTTGGATTGCATGTTGGTGCAAATATTTGGATATTTTCAAATATTTTTTTCTTTTCGTCAACTGTCAACTTTTGTGGAAGAGAATTAAACTCAAAAACAGGTTGCAGTTAAGATACGAAATGTCGACGTGGAAAGTATGTTTTGAATGGAGCAAATCGTCGATTTGCTTACGACTTTTCAAACTCCTCTCAACGTGGGTATTGAATAAATGAATTGGTGATAATGATATTAGAAAACAAGACTATAATTTACATTTCGTGTTCTCTTTCCGTTGTTTTAATAAGTAGCAATATCTCGTTTAATGCATTTGACATCAAGGATTCGTGAGATATTGTCTCCTATGAAAAAATGTAATTGCTTTCGTTAATAGTTGTATTTCTAAAATAACAAGCACATTTAATTATAAAGTTAACGCATGTACACATTCGTTCGTGTGTGCGTGGGTAGGGGAGAAGGATGCCTAATTCTTGTTTAACAATTTTTTTAAACCAGGATGTTCAGGATATTGATCAAACTTTTTCTCCCTTGTCCTTGGTGAGCCTCTAATGACCGGGTGTCTTCGCTGCCCCTGTGGGTATGCTACGCTTCCAGCATCGTGCACAATCGTGTGTTGGGTTGCGTTCGCCCCCGGGGCTGCCTTGGTCACTAGCGCGCTCTGTGGGATGCCGGTACTTCGCTTAGCAAACCGACAGGTCCTGCGATCTGGCGGCAAGCGCGGCAACTAATTGGAGGAGCTGGAAAGTTGTAAATAACGCGTGCTTATCTCTAGTGCACACAAATTGATGTTTATGCGGCGGATAAGGGGATATTTATGAAGGGAAAACATATTTGTACGCTAAAGATGTGGTTCAAAATACTTCATTCATAATTTAAGTCAAGGTGTAAGACAGATTATTTTCTTAACTATTTAAATATACATACGAGTAAGGACATGGACATATGTGTAAATAATGACAGTTTTCAGCAACGGTATTAAAAAATGAAATGATTGTCAGGCTTTATAATCCCCTTTTCTCAAAGAAGCATATTACAAATGTGGAAATAAGCAGGCTAGGAAATGTTTATTTGAAGTGTGTTTGTATTCGCAGGGGGAATTTATTTATTTCCGTTCTTGTAAATCTACCCAAAATGTTTATAGATATCCGCATACTATATCACTAATTTTACTGAACCCAGTTAGACTGGTAATAAATAAAATTCACTTCAGATTGTGAATTCTGATGTTAAATGATAATGTATATAAAGGAATTATGAAAAGCATATAAAAAGTTCTTGTGTTCGATAAATCATAAAAATGGTATCATTTGATGTTAAAGAGTTTTTACGCATTAAAATCCATATATTTAAGATATTTAGATATCTTATTAAGATATTTGCATTCCAGTTACGGAATTTTTCCGTGAATTTGTAGTTCCCATCACTCTTATTTCACTGATCACGTATCATATTTTTGGAGACACACATGCTCTTTGAATAGTACTACTACTAATTGTAATAAATGTATAAGGTACATTGGGTAGCATTCTTGAAATATTATTTTGTATATAATCAAATATTCTAATTAACTTTCCGGCATTACAGGCAAATAACTTAAAAGTACGGTTCCATCTGCGCAATTCGGACTGTTATTGATTATGCAATACAGCGTGATAATTTTCATATATTCCTCGAGGTTTCTCCGGAAACAACTGTCTATAAGTTGTTTCTTTTTCTTCTTTTTTTTTCGAGAATTTTGACAGACCTTGGCAATATTCTTTCATTTTGTACAAACAAATCACTTCAACTACAATTATTAAATAATCATTAGATAGTATGTTTCTTTTTCGACGCCATAGTGACAACTGACGATCTTTTCATTTTTGTTGATTTGCAAATTTAAAAATGTTCGGAATTATCGTTAAGGTCAGTTGTAAAGTACTCAACCATAAAGTTTTGGACGCACCACTTGATGTTTTTACCGTCAAGTCCTCTCGGGCCAGAGACCCTCGGAATTGAAAGTCGCCATCGGGGCAAAACGCCTTAGATACATAAATAACTATTAGCGAATTGTCCATTAGTTTTGATGACAGGGAAATTAATACTCTTGATTAAAAATCTTTAAAATTCTACCTAAAGCTTTCAGGTGTTTCTCCCATCAATAGCAAGTGAATGCCGGAGTAGTAAATTAAAAAACGCCACCGCGCGAACTTTCCTTTACTCCGACCTCTCCCTGAATTACACTGAAATGCACTATACTGCATCACATGCCAGATGCCTGATCGGGAGTTCAGTGTTTGCCCCAGGTGGGGCGAAGCCCGCTGGTGGGAGATACCTGGTTGGGAAAACCCCGTTAATCGACAGGTCGGTCGGCGCTGGATCTCGGTATCCACTGGGGGAAGGTCATCGCCAACTCCGGAACAAAAACATGCTTTACACTTACGGGATTAATTACCTGAAAAGTTGACTGATCCGGAACCACTAATCAATCAATCAATCAAATTAAATAGAAATGTTAAGAGAAAGTTGTTATATTTAACTGTAAATAAAATCGTCATGTTTTACGTTTTCCTGAACACCTTGTTTTATGGAGATAGCCGACGCTGTGTCCCACCTGAGTATTTTTAGCTCTGCTCGCAACGAAGGTCGTCTGGCCGCGTGGGGCTGGTGGCCCACTGGGCGAGGGGCGCAAGGGGTCGGGCGTGATCCGGGCCACGCGCCACCTCCGCTTCCGGTCTGGCCACGCGGCCCGCCCCGCCCCCGCCTCGCCCCCGCCGAAAGTGGGGCACCGCCACGGCACCTTCGCTTCTGAGGATGTGGTTGGTTGTTTGGTTGTAGTGATTACTGAAGTCATAACTCCGTAAGTGTAGTGCACTTTTCGCCTTCTGTGTGTGGGGTGAAGTTCACCTGCTGGATGGCGAGATTCGGCGCCAATCTATACATCGGCTTGCGAGATTTTTTACTTAACCAGGTATCTCTCACCAGCGAGGCACCGCCCCAATCAGGACATGCTCTTAGCTCCCGACCGGTCTCCAGGCATGGTAGTCTCCAGGTGTGGCAGCATAGTGCATTTAAACGTACGTGTGTGTAAGGGATGAGGTTAAGAAGAGCAAGGGAAGATCGCGCGCGGACCGTGGCCCGTTCGTTAGGGTACTACTCCGGGATTCGCCTGGTGTTGATCGGAGAAATCACGGCAAAGTATCGATCAGATGAGCCGGCCTCTATAATTCTTCTCTAGACAGCGACTGAATTCGGCCTAGCTGACAAGCTAGTGTACAAAATCCTGCCAGTGTCGGGACTCGAACATAGGACTGGTCAAATGGACTGCAGTGACATCATTGATTCCCAGAGGCACACCTCCCGGTCCAGGATGTGACAGGGCGGCTACCTCCAATTGGCGTTTCATATTTTTCTATTTTCGAATTTTCACTTGTTGATTTATAACCGGAAATAGGCCTTATTTTTAAGCAAACATGAGAGCAAACTCATGAGAGCAAACAATGAAAACAAAGCATATTTTCCAAACATTTTGAAAATTTTTCATATTTTACTAAAATTTCCGTTAAAAGTGACTCCAGAAAGTGTACAAGAGATTGTGAGAAAAAGTAATGTTTGAAGGAGATTTCGTTAACCACTAATTTAAAATATGGTGTTACGCTATTACGCTGGAGAGCAAATACCTGCCAATGGCTAATATTGTGCTCTGTTGCAGGGCCAGCAGCAGGATGAGGACTGATCCATGTCGTAGGTGAGTACCTCAGCTGAGATCCACAGCGGCGGCGCTTCGTGGTGTTCTAGGTCCATCTCCAACGGCCATCTTCTGAAAGCGAATGGTGGAATATTCGGTTCTGCAGATTGCTCTGCTGTGATGTTCGGCAGGGGGCTTATTGATATAATAATAATATAATATAATATAATCATTATTATATTATTATTATTGTTATTATTATTTATTTGTAAGGAGACGTGCACCTCCGCCAAACCGCAACCATAAATTTACGTTTGAAGCAAATTGAAGCGTTCTGTTGCAAAGACCAACCAACATTTCATTTAAAAGGAATAAGCAATGGAGTATATAGTACGTGAAATGAGCTGCACATCACAATGACTGGTTTATGATTTAATTCTTATTCTATAGAGCATTATAGTTCGTGGGAGGGCGTGGCTTCAAGGTCATCAGTGATAGTGTAAAGAGGGGCAAGTGGTCTGTGAAGACATCTTAAACACTGTGGAGAGATGATCAGCGATCGGATGGAATACGTCGTGTTTAATGTGGATGGAGAAATGGCAATAGGGACGTGTGTCAGCTGATCTATATCTCATTGTTTTCATACAGTCATTTTGTGAAATTTGTGTCTCTCTTTTAAACGCACCGTTTGCTCTATAGTTGCCACCTGATTCGCAAGGGCTGCCGCTGGCCGCTTTCTGCCCCGTCTCCAGATGGTTTCGATCGATTGACTAGTGATTCCGAGGGTGTCAACTGCGAAGGTCAGTAGTCCCTTAAGTGAAGAACATGTTTTCCTTTGTAGGTGGTGGTGATCCCCCCCTCCCCCCGCTAGATGTTACGATCCGGCATCGACCTACCGCCGGCTAGCGAAATTTCCCCAAACAGATATCCGGAAGAGAATTCTAGCGGCCACCTGCTCTGATTAGTAGTTTTTTCGAGGTTTCCCCGATCAATACCAAGCGAATGCCGGATCAGTACCTTAACAAATAGGCCACGGGCCGCACGCGGTCTTCCTTCTTCTTCTTTGTGCCATCGTCACCCATCAGTTCAGAGATTATCCCGGCTGGGGCTGGTGGGAGATACCTGATTGGGGAAAACTCCGCTAGCTAACGGTAGGTCGGCGCCGGATCTCACCATCCTGCCAAAAGATCACCGACCTCTCGAGGAAGACCCCTGCATTACACTTACGGGACTAATGACCTTAGTTGACGCGCCCTTAATCAATCAGATCAATGGTGGTTGTAATGACCTGAGCAGCGGACGCGCCCGGAAACAGAAGACTCGATCGAGGAGCCCCCCCCCCTCCCCCGTGGGGGCTGCGCTGGCACCGGCGGCGGCGCGCGGCGTGAGGAAACCTCGCCCGGGGCTCGATTGCAAGGAACCCCTCCCCTCCCCCTCCCCCTCGACCCTTGGCCCGGCCCAGCGTGCGATCAGAGCTCTGCATGCGCTTTCAACGTGGGAGGCGCACTGGAAAAAAAAAATGTGAACATTGTAGAATCCATGGCCATGATGGAGAATTAGGAAACGTGGATCACGGGATTTGGTCAAAATGAATTAAATATATTAAAATATTAGCGTGCAGACGTTTCGGAATATTTGTGTTTCTCCACATTATTCCATCTTCATTTTCTTTAAACACCAGCTCTGAGAATGGAATAAAATTACTCCGAAACGTCGCCAAATACTGTTTTAATACTTCTTATTCACTCGGAATTTCTGTGATCAATATTACCTAATTTGTATTTTTTATTGCAAATGAGAGGCAATTATTGACGAAGGGCTGCAACACGTCGCTGACAGAGGAATTTCAGAAAAGCTTCGGATTTTGGGCGGTACGTTGGTATTCACATCACAAACAATGACACATTTCTTAAAGATAATTTACACAAAAGACACGAACATAATTTGTGGAAGGAAATTACTAGATTTATGTTTTATTTATGAGTTAGTTTAGTATTGCCAGGTTTTGTGCCAAGCTCAACTGCTTCTCTAAATAACTTTAGGAGGAAGAATTGAAGATCTGAGTGCAAGAACAAGGTAACGGCCACGTTTTGCGAAAATGAGATTTTCGCATGTACACGAAGCCTGTCCCCCTATCAGCAGACATTTTCATTTTCCAAAAGAAGTTCTTAATCCCCTCAGGAAACGTCGAGTAAATCAAACTGAATAGGGAATATGTTTTTGTCCCAGAAGAGTGCAAGACATAGTAGCATCGGATTTTAGGAAATGTTCCCTTGTTAGAGCGATTCAGTATACGATTTGATAATAATAATAATAATAATATAATAATTAATATTTATAAATATTAATAATAAATAATAATTATTTATTATTATTAATTATTATTATTATTTAATATTTTATTATTAATAATATTATTATTTTATACAATTGAGTCTTTCAGAATTACTAGATATCGAAACTTCATTTATGATGGAAAAGATGTGCCCGTTTCTACTGAGCATAGTGGTATTATCAATTCCCAAATTTTGCATATTTAAAGGACGACAGCAGCTCCGTCAATCACAAAATTACATTCCGCTTGTGCAAATTGCCTTTTACAACAGTCTACTCTCTTCAAACCACAAACGCCTAAGAGGAATCTGAAACAGACAAGAGCGTCTTATAATGACTAACATTTCTTTGGTAAATAAAATTAACATGATCAGAAAAGACTTGAATAAAGTTCGTTTGTTGCATTTTATAACCATAAAGTTAAATATTTGTATTTGTCTATGCATATCAAGGAAATAAAGCATTTGTATCCAATTTTTCTTGCAGATATTTTGAGTGCAAGAACTAGATATATCCAACACGAATTTATGTAATTATTACCTATCTTTACTGGAGCTATTGCATTTAAAATTCGATAAAGTGTTCAGACTATTCCCTTCTTTTACCTTACACAAGAAATTATTATGGATTTCATATTTAAAAGAATGTAAAATGTTTTTATCATTTTCTCGAAATCTTACTTTTGGTTATTATCTGGTGCTGGCACTCAGGTCTTGAATTGTCTTCATGGGGCGCCAAGGGATTAGGGGTGAGTTGTGAATGTGGTAGAATTTAAAAGTATATTTTCAATATAATGGTTATTTAAACAGCAGCAAGATTTTGAAGGTTTAGAAAATGCAACCAAAAACTTTTAAGTCACATTTATGGTCATAAATGCCTGCATATTTCTAACCTTTTTAGGGCATTAAACATCCGGGCCCTAATGCCGAGTGTGTGTTCTGGCGGTGGGTGCGGTCTCGTGTGGGGGGCGGGGCGGCAACGCCCCCTGGAGCGCCGCCAGCCCCGGCCTCCTGCGCCACTTGGCGGCAATTCGGAACGACACGTCAATTCCGGTTCCCTATCAAAGCCCTCGCACGCACACGCGCTATCTTTGCTGGGCGGTAAAGGAGGGCGGCCGCTGGTTGCGGGGCGTAGCAATTCGATCGAGCTCCTCCTCGGCCCACCCACTGTATTAAAATGCAGAAAGTTTGGGATGCGTTTTCTTGGCGATTAAACATTATGAACCGGAGATGTTAGGCAATTTTAGCATTGTGTTTTAAAATAGAAACAAACTCTCAAATACAAGTAATCGTGTAATGTGTGTATTAAAATAGCTCAGCTTGGAGTACATGGGAATATTTTCACAAATAAATACGGGTTACAATTTTCGCTCAAAATACAAGTTAAAATGAGAGTGCGTGGCCTCCACAATACTACTTACAGAATTGCGGCACAACCTTCCATTTTTTTTAAATCGCGTCAAACCACAGTGAAATTGTAGATTGTAAATTTTAGGGTAGGTTTTTGCGATTTAAAACAACAACAACAACAACAATAATAATAATAATAATAATAATAATAATAATAATAATAATAATAAAACAGGAGGATGGTAGCGCAATTCTAGCTTCAGATTCGGATTTAGGGCATCGACATATACAGAAAAAGATGTCTCAAGTCTGTGAGTTTGACAACAACCCCCGAAGTACAAATTCACGATGTGTTTTTTTTTGCGCGATTTAAAAAAAGTGGAAGATGGTGGAGCAATTCTGGCTTCAGATTTGTTGTTGTGTCTCCGTGTAATTCATCATAACGAAAAACTATAGAGGTTTTTCTGCTCCTGCTTCAAATCACTTACGCTGAATTGTAAGACCGAGACGTCACGACAATTTCTGCAATTGATTTTTCTCTATCAGAAAGATTATGAGGCGTGCTCATTGAACCATGCATTCAAAACTGCCAACAAACTGCGAAAAAACACAAAGAGAGGTTTTAAGCTAGAATTAAATAAATCATGTTACATTTCTCAAGCCGACCTGAATGGTCGAGGTGGCTAGAGCGTGGACCGACGCAGCGCCTTGGTCTTCCATGTATGTGTGTTGCCGCGGAGGGCCTTGTGAGTGTGCTGACCAGACACTAGGAGCCCGCATGTATGTGGGTTTCTAGTTACAGGTTGATATGTGTCCCCATAAGGGAAATAGTGGGTGCCCGCCGCGGGTGGTCGAAATCCGTACCCCGTGAAGCTGAGAAAGCCGCAAGGAAGGAAAAATGAAACATTTCGTATAATGATGTGAATACGGAACCAAAGAAACAACCGAGGGGCATAGGTCTCCAGGCGAATTTCTCTTTTCTCCAGTAATGAAAATGTAGCTGCCCTTTACATTCGGAATCCTAACCCTAATTAAGAGTTAAGTCGGAACCCTAACGCCCGCCATTTGTCTCACCCACGCAATTTCTCTTTCCCCACACTAACTCTCTCGCATTAGTTCTTTCTCCCTCTCACATTATCTCTCAAATGCTTTGTTGAGGCCAGTGGACGATATTTTTACAGGCCCTAAAACAGCTGATCGCCGAAAGCAGCTTTGCGCTGCATAAGGAATTAGCCTATTCTGTCTGCCAGATGAGCCCAGTGCCTGTCAATGCCTCCAAGTATCTGTCCAGTGCGTGCAGATGGAGGGTAGAGACAGTTTTCACAAGCGAATTGCCCTCTTCCGATATCACTGCTAAAAATGTAAGAATAGATGCAAATCATATCGGAAACCACACCGGAGGAGGTGGCTCAGGGCAGCAACTGATGTCATTGTATTGCCTCTGACCGGGAGGTCCTATGTTCGAGTCCCGGCAGTGGCAAGATTATCGACCCTAGCTTGTCAGCTAGATCGAATTCAGTCGCCATTTGGAGGAGAATTCTAGATGACGCGAGCATTGATCGATAGTTTTCCGTGTTTTTCTCCATTACCATTAGGCGAATACCGAAACAATACCCTAATAAGCAGGCCACAGACCGGGCGCGATCTTTCGTGCATCTTCCTCGCCCTATCCTCGCGCCTTACACACAATATAACAAGCGCCACACTACCACATATTCCGAGAGACAGGTCAGGAGCTTAGAACTTGTCCCGGATGGGGTGGTGCCTGGTGGGAAATACCTGGTTGCGGGAAACAACGCTAGATGACGATAGGTCGGCGCCGGATCTCGGCATCCAGCGAGGTAAGATTCTCACAGCCACTTCTGAGAATAAAAACATGAACTACACGCACGGGACTAATGACTTAACTAGTTGACGCGCCCGGAATTACTAACAATCAACCAATGGAAAACCAGATGAGGATATGCATTCGTGAGAGTTAAATCATGAAATGAGTAAATGGACAGGACATATGCCTAATGGAAAACCGGAAGAGGATTACGTGTGAATTAAATCATGGAACGAGTCAATAGACAGGACTTATGCCGAATTGACAGAGCCCTTGTTGCTTACTTTCACCATGGTTTTAATTTAAGGACAAAATTGTAATAAAATAATAGTGTATTTATGTAAAAAGGAAGTTTAGTAGAAAAGAATAATATTTTTTGTTCCTGAATAGCTCCGTGACAAGTTCTCTAACGTTCGTGAAATGCGTGCGAACGATCTGCACGTGCTACTCCCCGCCCACCGCCAATTGGCGCGCCACGAGATAGAGCGCCGCGCCGCTGTCCCGCGCGTGCGCTGATCGGGGCCGGGCGGGGGTGGCGCCGCCGAAGGGAAGCGTGCTTCCGGGAAGCCCCGCGCGGGGGCGGCGGAGGGGGCCGTGACCGGCGAGGAGGCGCAGGAGGCGAGCGTGGAGCGTCCGCCTTGGCAGGCCGCTCACGACACCACGCCCGCTCCCAGCCCCCCTGCGCCCCGACCCCTCCCCGCCCCTGCCCCCCCTCCCCCGCCCCGCCGCGCCACGGGACACTTCACACCGCTGGGGCGTTCGATTCCTGTTAAAGAAGCCATTCTGGAATCGAAAGTTGGACTCGATTATAGAATCGAAACGAACGAAACAAAATCGATTATCTAAGGAATAGAATCAAATGAGAACTTCGTTCAACGAACCGATTCCGGAATCGAGCAATTAGTATTTAACAAAACACAACCAGGTGTTAATTAAAGTTTAATAACGATAAGAATTAACTACGTGGCGGAAAAATATTTGTGATGTAATAATACAATTGAAATAAAGTAACAATGTACCATTATATTAATAGAACATTAATGCAAAATATAATATATTATAACATCAACAATAGTATAAACTAATCAAGGAAATCGTAATGGATTCAAAAAACCGAACATCACACAACAAAATTTTCCACACAGCAAAATTGTTTTTTTTCAATTGTGACGCTAAAAACGCAATTTGAACCAATAGTTTTTGTTTGAACTTAGCGGATGATGGAGGAATGAAGGGAGATAGAATTCAAACACGACATGGACTTCTATAAAATTAATAATAAAGTAATAACTACATAAATAATAAAGGCAGAAGACAAAAATCTGAAAATTCCAACAAAAGCGCAGGAATATGCATTTTTAAAATAAATCGAAGGTATTCATTTGATTCGATTCCGACCTTTTAGAATCAATTCCATTACGAATCTGAAGCATAGGAATCAAATATTGATTCCACAGGAATCGCAATAAAATAATCGATTCCCGAATCGAATCGATTGAATCGGAACGTTCGTACACACTGGCAATGTTATCGGATCACTGAATTTGTTTCGTCGCGAGAAAGAAATGTTGTACTAATGTTTGTTCACAGCAACATATGTCAGTGTCTCTATTAGCACAGAGAGCAATGTAAAATCAGTCTGACTGCCGGCGTGCGAGGTGAATGTAACCTGTCTCGAACCGCGCTCAAACACCAATACAGCCGTTTTTCATGGGCGAAATGCCCCAGGAAATTCGTGGAAATAAATCCTTTCCATTCAGGTCTGTCACGAGATGGGCATGAGAGTTTCCGAGAGGACTCGTAGCAATTGTGATTGTGATCAGCAATGCATGCGATGACCTGTCAGTGTGCGGACCGATGTGGCACGTGCGGTAAACGAGCTTCCGCCTAATCGAGCCTTAAGAACGGACGTGTGATGCTTTTGGAATCTGAATGTTGAGACCTTATATATGCTAAAACTTAAGTAACTTATGCACCAACCCTCGTGTGTGTCACAAACCCTGCAACTCTGAAATTTAGGATAATCCCAGCAAAATTCGGGATGGAGAAAAGTAAAGAAAATAAATAAAACGCTAATCGGTATTGTAAAGGAAATATTTTGTAATTACTGTAGAACTGAACAACTAATTATTGAAACATGTTGTCGAAATAAATCTTTTATTCCACTGGTAACTACGATGTATATTCCACGTTATGCAGCATAATTTTCACTTAGAAGAACTGAATCTGCATAAAGGAACGAAAGGAACTGAATCTGCATAAAGAGGTGGGAGGTGATGATGCAATCGCTTAGCTACGTTGCAATTTTCTCACATCGCGCGGTACGTGCATTGCCTGGTAATCGTATTGATATATTTGTATATGTACAGTACATTTTTTTTTCAATAATTCGAACATTTCCGGATCCGATGAACAGATCATACACCCGATTAGTTAGGATTGCCGGGGTGTTATATATATGAAAGGGAGGGAGGGAGACAGAGAGAGAGAGAGTGTGTGTCTATAAACTAATATCTAGTTATGCTTTATGAATAGCGGGAGACTTGGTGGTTACTGCGTCAAGTCTTTGCCTCCCGCCCCCAAGTGTGTGGAGCGAGCGCCGTGGCCCGTGTGGCGCGGAGGCGTCGGCGCGGGGAACGCTCGCTTACACGCCCGGCCGCCCGGATCCTCGCCCTCC